TTTCCCATGCATGTCCTTGATAGTAAATGGGCCTATGAAGGATGGCTTAAGTTTCTTATTACCCCCCAAATTATTAAAATTTACAGTAGATAATAGAACCTTATCCCCAATTTTAAAGTCTGGTTGTTTATGGCTCTTATCCCATCTGTTCTTGTTATACTCCACTGCTTCCTCAACACACTTTTTGGCATGATTTTGAGTCACATCAAGCATCTTTTTAAAGTCTAGAGCAGTTGGGTGTATATGTGGTAATTTATCATTAAGGGTATCTTTTGGCATTCTTGGGATCCAACCTCTTTCAAGGACATAAGGTACTTCATTTGAGGAAGAATGTTTGCTGCTATTATATGCAATTTCAAGAGCAGGCAACAGGCTGACCCAATCATGAGTGTAGCCATCATGGTTCTTGAATTCTAAACCAAATGAGCAGAATCTCCTGAGCATATCCTCTAAGGTTTGGATCATCCTTTCAGCCAGCCCATCAGTTTGAGGATGGTAGGCCGTGGAAAAGGCTAATTTAGTCCCTAGCATGTCATGTAGGTTCCTCCAAAATTCTGAAGTAAACTTGGGGTCCCTATCACTGATGATAATTTTGGGAATTCCCACGTCAGCCATAATTCTGTTCCAAAACAACATGGCTACTTCCATTGCAGTGTCATCTTTATGATTTGGGATAAACCTGGCTCTCTTAGAGTACCTGTCTACTACTACCAGGACAGAGTTATAAGAATAGGCTCCTCCAGGAGGTAATCCTGTGACAAAGTCCATATTAATTATTTCCCACTTAGTACTGGGTTCAGTAATTTTCTGGAGTAGCCCGTATCTTTTCCCTGTTTGTTTATTTGATTTTTGGCAAACTTCACAAGATTTGACGTAATTGGTCACCTGAGATCTCCAGTCTAACCACCAGGCAGTATGTTTTATCCTCTCCACTGTTCTGTCTTCAGAAAAGTGGCCAGAATTAACATTATCATGGCATTCATAAAGAATGTTGTCAATTTGTGCCTGGTCACAGAGTACTAAAACACTAGAGTGTCTATTCCTGTAGTACAGCAATCCATCCAATAAAGTGAATTTTCCTTCAGAATAAGGTTTTGCCAAATTAGAGGGTAAACTAGCAATCAACTCAGGGGAACTATTTTCATTGCTCAAGATGTCAACCAATTTTAACAGTTCAATATTATCCTTATAGCTGTCTTGGACTAAGTTGTAGAAAGCAATATCCAAATCACACACGTGAATTCCTAAAATGGGAAAAATATCCTCATCTTCTGGATCCCAGGCTGGGTTATCAGGTGTGTTGGGTAAGGCCCATCTACTAAGCCCATCTGCATTTCTGTGTTTAATGCCAGCTTTGTGAACAATAGTCATATGTCCTCTATATTGTTGAATAGCAATTTGCCATCTGAGCATATGTCTGTTAGGTGTCTTCATGTTCATGAGGGTTTTAACTGCTGTGCAATCAGTGACTACTACAACTTTGGTGCCTTCAAGATAATAATGCAATTTCTCAAGTGACCAGACCAAGGCCAAGCATTCCATTTGGCTTGCTCCATATTTTCTTTCACTTGATTTGATTTGTCTAGAGATAAACAGAACTGGTTTCTCAGTTGGAATATCATCAATTTCAAATTCTTGGTGCAAAGCTGCGCCCAAACCATCTAAACAGGCATCTATGTACAAAATAAATGGTTTGGTGTAATCAGGCTGGGCTAGAACAGGAGCAGTGGTCATGAGGTGTTTGAGTTGCTCATAATCCTGGACACGTGAATAGGTCATTTCATATATTACATCTTTGCTACAAATTTCATAAAGACTATGAGTGATATTGGCAAATTTGGGGATATGTTGCCTGTAGTAACTACAAAATCCTAAGAAAGATTGCATTTCTGTAATATTCTGGGGCATGGGTTTTAACAAGACAGCAGCTACTCTATGTTGATCTATGGCTAAGGTTAAGCCTGACACTATGCGTCCCAATGCTCTAAGTTCTCCATAACCAAAATTACATTTCTTAATGGACATTTTGAGGCCAGATTCTACCGCCATTTCAAGCACAGAAGTAATTTTTTCCAGATGTGTGGCCCAATTATCAGAATAAATGATAATGTCATCTATGTAAACCATCATCCAATTTTGACGGATAAAGCTCCCAAAGATAGAGTCCATCATCCTTTGAAAATGGGATGGTGCATTTTTAATTCCAAAAGGCATTCTGAGGTACTCATAAACACCTAAATGGCATATAATGCGCATAAATTGTCTGCTATTTGGCTCAATAGGTATTTGATGGAATCCCTTAAGCACATCCATAGTGGTAATATATTTTGCTTTAGACAAATTATGTAGAGAGTGGTCAATCCTAGGAATGGGATAATTATCAGCTTTGGTGTAATTATTCAAAGCTCTAAAATCTCCAACCATCCTGGACTTATCATGATGCCATGCAATAATGACAGGAGTGGTAATTTCTACCTGCTCATTATGGCCCACTTTTCTTATAACTTTGAGATCCAAAAGCTCTTTTATGTGAGTTTCCAAAGCCACTCTGGATTTTGGGCTAGAAGGATAAGGGGCTCTTCTAAGGGCAGGAGGGTACGGAGGTTGACAAGTTAATTCTAACTTGATGTCATGTCCTTTGACATTTCCAATGGGCTCTTCTGTTGTGCAGAAAGCCTCTTTATATTTGTAGCATATTTTTAAGACATCTTTTTTCTGCTCTTGGTTTAGTATATCACTCACAGCTGCTTGTGACAGATACTCTTTATCAAACTCAATAAGTTCCTTTGTTAGGCAAGGTACTTCTTTGATTGGCTCAGGTATTTTAATGTTCACATTGCAAATCTGGAATTTCCTTTTCCAGTCTCCACCAATGGTATAGTATCTATTTTTGCTCTGAAAAATATCTATTCCATACAAGCAGAAAGTATCATTTCCCAAAATAAAATATTCACATAAAGCATCTTGTAAAACAACAAATTCAACATTGAGTCTTAAAGATCCTTTGGAGTGAGGGAATATTAAGGGCATACTAATTACACCAAGGGGTTTCATGGAGGAATTACAACTGCTAAATTTGGCTTTAGGCACTGGTAGCAAGTAATTTTTCCATTCAGGGTAACAAGTATCAAGGAAATCACTACTAGTGCATGAGCAGAAAGCTCCAATGTCAAGTAAAGCTTTCCATTCTTTACCTTGGTACATAACAGTAGTGTAACTGGTTTTTCCCATAGTGTAGCTCATACCTGTCTCAGGTTTGTTGGACAAGAGTTTGGCGTCAGAAATGTGGCCAACTTCCATTGTAGAATCCCATTTCTGAGGCAAATTTGACTCACCGTGGATGGCATTAATTTCAAACTCATCTCCAATATCTGCTGATATAACCTGGAATCTATACTCTGATTCCTCAGATTGGTGATGATTTTGGTGGAAATCTGAGTCTTCAGGTTCTACTTGCACCATCTCAAACCTTGAAGAGTTTTCTTCCTCACTGTCAGGCTCAATGTTGACATTATTTATCCTTTTTCTGGGATTTGGGCAATCAGGTCTCTTGTGTCCTTTTTCCCCGCAATTATAGCATTCTGGTATGACAGTTTTTTTAGGGGTAATTTCAGCAGGTTTGCCTTCTTTTTCTCTAGGAGCAGGATTTTTTGAAGTTCCTTCCCTTTTGTCTGAATAATTTTCCCTGTGTCTTCTGTTGGCACCAGTCATTTCAATGACTTCCTCCATGACATTAATAAATGTGGATAAATCAGTGTCCATATTTGGAAGTCTACATCTCATTTGGTGTTCTAGATTTCCTTTACATTGATCAAGCAATTTATCATTAATGTCTAGTTGGGTAGGATTTTTGTACATACAATCAATCCTCTTTTTCTGCGTGAGACACCATTTGTGAGGTTTGTCTTTTGTGGGATCAAAGTAATCACTCTCAAAGGCTCTTCTGATTTTCTGCTCCCATAATCTGGTACCAAAGTGAGCTTTGATTAATTTTTTCCACGTGTCCCAAGATTGTTTTCCAACAGATTCTTGTTTTTCTATGAACCACTCAAGAGCTACTCCCGTGAATAACCTTGGAAGTCTACTAAGAACAAACTCATCATCTGCACTGTAAGACAACAACATGTGGTCAATGTATTTAATAAAACTTATGTGGTCATAGTCATCTGAGCCGGCAAATTTAGGCCAATCTGTAACAGGAGGGACTAGCTTATTTAAAGTGGCCAAATCCATGTTGTAATACTTGGATGGAACTCTATTGGCATTATGTTGGGATTGTGGTGGCGCAGAAGAAGTATGACTACTTAAATGGGGTGGAGGATTCCTATATTGCTGCGGCGCAGCATTGGTTTGAGATCTGTTAAGGTGGGGCGCAACATCCCTAGTATCCTGCACCGGTGTTTCTTCCATGTATGGGTTATTGAAGCGCGGTTGCTGTTGATAATTCTGATAATCTATATTAAGAGGCGTAGTTTTATTTTGAGAAAAATGCTGAGCTAGTGAGTCACGAATGCTGGATTGTATTTCTGATTTCATTTCTGTCTTGAGAACAGAAATTTGTTCTTTTATCAAATTGCTCAAGCCTTCTGATCTAATATTTTGTTGGATAAGTAGGTCTTTTATTACATCCGACTCCTCCTTCTTTTTAGCATTTTCTACTATATTGTCTTCTCTGATGTTTGATAAGATGCCATCGGTAATTTTATCAAGATCATTGTTGAGCTTATTGACTGATGTAGTCAATTTAGAACAGGCCTTCTCACTTTTCGCAGTATTATCAGCGATAATTTTTGTCATTTCAGGGTTTATTGACAAAGGATTTCTCAAAATGTTGTCAAACTGTATGGACAAAGAGGTCGCGTTTTTCTTGTTATTTCGTGAAACAAGGTCTAGACTATGTACAATTGTTTTAAAATTCTCTTCGGCATTGCTGTCAATTGCCGACATATTTTTACTAACAAGCTCTAAACTATCCAGGATAGCGGTAAGGATTTTAGTGTCTAATCCGCCATGTGGCGGTATGCCGCCTCGAGGGTGTTGCAACCCCTCATGACCATTTTCCAGCGGTTTGGGTCGTTGTAGAGCTCCTTCGCTCCTTTGGAGGATGAGGAGCGCTTCTTGCCGTCGTTTTTCTTCGGCGCGGTGGGAAACAGTTCCTTCTTGATCGTCCAAGGGTTCCAGCCCTTGACGAACTCTTCTAATTCCTTGCGAGGGATTAACTTCTGAAGAACCTTTTGACTGTCTTGCGCTTGATGGAGAAGTATCTTGAGATCTTCCATCGCGCCGGACTGTTGGGCTACTGTGCACCTCTTCCAGAGGTGTATATGCTCTTTCACAAGGTGTTTGATCCTTTCTTCCTTGGATAACACTTGCTTCTCCGGCAATTTGCGGAGTAGCTGGATATCCACCGAAGAGGTTGAAGCTTCTGGATCCACGTCCATCGCTTCCGAAGCTGTGGTCACTGGATTCGTGTTCTGGACTGGCGTGTTTTGCACCGCTTGATCCAAGTCCATGTGATCTTGGACTGTAGTCGCAGGAGCTATCGCTGGGACCAAGTTCCTTGGGGTCTTTGGTATAGTCGCGGCGCTCGGACTCGTAGCTCGAGCCGGGGTGGCCGTGGTTGAGCCTCTCTCGACCAATATCTCCTCCGTCGCTCTCGCGACTGAGACAGGTGCTAGCTTTTTTTGGATCGTAATCAGCTTGAGGCGGTTGACCCGTTCCTCCAGCTGATTTGCTACGCCTTGGTCGCGAGGCTGGGGGAAGGGGGCCGTGCAAGTCGGGGTTATTTGATCTAGTAGACATATTCGCCCGTTTTTGTTAATTTCTTATTTTATTTATTTGTATTACTCTATCTTCGTGAGAATCAAAAAGAAAACTCTTTCTTTCGTAAGAACAAAGTAACTTACTCGTAATGGGGCTGTTAGCTGCGGTTTCAGCGACTGGGGTAGACGCAGCGCTTGAGTTGGAAGTAATAGACACTACCGGTGAAAACAAGCCGTTTTTATAATTGTTTTTAGCAAGAGTGATAAGCTAATCGATGATATGAGAAAAAGGAAGTTTTGAGCGCGTACTTTTATTGAGTCTTTTTGCTTTGAGTTCTGCTAAAATCTCGCGTCGTCTGTTCTTGTGTTCGCGTTTGAGGGAATTCCAGGCAAACAGGTTGTCGATTCTTTTTTCTTCGTTGAGTTGGACGCGTGCGAGGGCACGAGCGCGTTGTTCTTGAGGAGAGAGTAATTCCCAAGGAGTAGGTTGATAGGCAGCTGCGCGCTGTGCTTTTTCAGAAGCAAGGAAGTCAAGGTAGTAATTGATTAGTCTCGAGGTTTCTTGCAATTCCACTATAAGGAAAAAGGTAAAGAAAAGGCTAGTAAGAAAAAATGTTTTTTTAGGATAATTTTACTTTTTGTAAGATGTTTTTAAGTGGTTTGATTTTTGTAAAAAAAAATCAAGAGGAAGAGTAAAAAGATGATTTTTTGTGTATGTTTTAATTTTTATTTTTAAAAGAAAAAATGGTACCAGGTTTTTATCAAAAGATAAAAGTTATTCCCGGCCAGACCCCCAATTGTCAGCCTGGGTGATGCCAAGAGCTTGACTCTTCTAGCTACACCAGGTGCAAAGCTTAAGAAAAATGGAGTACAAGTGTGGGTAACACTTGGAGTGGGGAGGTTTTTGATATTAAGAAAAGAAATAGTAAAAACTCTTAAGTTTTTATTAAGGGAGGGGCCTGAGTTACAGGTGTGTTTATGGTGCCCTCCAATGAATCAGGACCTGTTAAACAGGGGTATTTTTGATGTACCTGATGATCTGGTCCTTTGTGCAGAAGGAGTATGCCCAGACAAATGCCTACAACTGAAGTATCAAGGAAATATTACTTACTGGTACTATTTCCAAGCCAAGGAGGACTTCAGGTGGGTAAAAACTGGTCTGGGAGCGCTCAGAAAACTGGGTAACAGGTGTTGGAAGAGTGCTGGGGAACAGTTGATGGTTGGTTGGTTGATATTCAAGGTGGAAACAGCAGGAACTGGGCCAAAAAACAGGTAAAAAACTGGTTTGTTGGAGGTGGTTATTGCTGGTGACTGGTAATGAAGATGGGGATTTTGAGTTCGTGGTCAAGAAGGGCTCCTTATATACTCATTCTGGGCCCTTGGAGGCGAACTCAGAACTCTGTTTGGCTGGTGTAAGCCTCCTACTAGGCATTAGTGACCTGTAGCACTGCCTGGACACCTGTAGTCCTTGGTTACAGGTGTCCAAGGGTTGAAGTGAGGCTTGTAACACACACTAAGGAGTGCTGTGACGAACCTGCAGCCATGGTTTGGTCACTGAGACCCTTTAATGACCAGTGGGCTGGTCCTAACAAGGCGTAGTGAGCCAAATTGGGCCAAAAAGGGCCACAGATAGCTTTTGACCAGCCAGTTACAGTTGTTGTGACAATGTAGTTAAGGTTTCAATGATGTCAACCTTATTTGTAGATTTTTCCCGAACTGCATGAACCTTAATTACATATGTAGACCTGTCACAACAAGTATTATGATGTAACTGGGAGGGTTTTTAGCAAAATGAGCAAGTGTCACTCAGAGTACACAGAAGTACCTGAAGGAGTAATAATTCAGGGGTACTTCTGGTGAGGTACCCTAGGTTATTTTGCATGAGAATTAAGAATCTGAAATAATATTCTAACTTTTGCTTAAGGTTTAGAAGTTATTTGTAGATTCATGTTAAAAAATGTTTATTTATAAATGTTTTTGGTTTATTTTTACGTTTTCTTTCATGACTAGTAAAACTTAATGTAATGAGTAATAATGTCTCTATTATAGTGATTCCACTTATTTAAATATTAATGTTTTTTATATGTACCTATGTAATAATGTCTCTATATTATGTACATATAAAATAGACATTAATTACATATGCTATGGGGTAGCATATGTAATAATGTCTCTAAATATTTAAAATGCTATGGTCAGGTTGTCTCTGAATAGTAGCAGGCTGACATATACTCTGTGCCACAACTTATGTACAAAAATTTCCTAATCAAATACTGATAGTGAAAAACAATTTTGCTGTAGGATATCATGAGTTCCTCTGATTGAAACTTGATAGAATGTGCATTTTTAATCAAATACAGCAAATTTGCATTGAAGAAACTAAAACTTCATCATGATACATATGGCATCTTTCTTGGCCTCAAAAACCAACAGCCAGTGATGCCACACCACACAGATAGGTTGCGGACCAAGGGATTAGCTAGAAAGCAAGGGTTGAGTCAGGAAGTCATGAAAATCAAGAGCCAAATTCTATTGTAGAGTTTTGCATGAGATTGATGATAAAATACCCCCTTCCAAAAACCCTAGTGCTCTCAGGCAGCAGAATTGACTTATGTCAATCTGGGTTGCAATATGTGAAAGGTGGTATAAGGCTCCAACTAAGGTGAGCCTTAATGATGTAAATACTTTGCACAAATTTCAGAAAAAAAAATCATAATCATCTTTTGAATCCCTCAATTACACCACTGTACCAATCCCAATGGCTTGAATTTTATTTTCAACCTTATCAATTTGGAAAAAATGGGGCCAAAACATTTGATGACCCTCGATCTTATGTAGAGGATTATCACATGTGTAAGTGTGGATGTAAAAATCAAGACCGTGCAAACTGGCCATGTCAAAAAAAACAGCCATTATGCAGTTCAACACCACATTTTGGTGATCTTTACTGCTAAAAGCAGGTCTAGCAGCCAAAAATCTGCCAACACTACATGTGTCAGTGGACATTGACTAGGTTTGCTATGCTGACACTTTTTGTCAGACACTGAGACACTAGCCCAGGTGTCTACAATAGAATGTAACCCCCTTGGGTTACATAACAATTATTATTATGTGTAATCTTTAAGTCAATAATTATAAAATAGTGTTATCCCTTTTTACATGTATTTTTATGTTAATAATTATTCTGTAAATTAATAAAGATTCACCTCTTTATTAATTTACCTCTCCCATGAAAATTATAATCAAGTTGAAAAGGATAATTATCTCCTGGGTGTATCCAAGAGATGATTATCCTATTTACCTCTCTTGTGTTTATGATTATTATGTTTATCTCTCTTATAGTATTTTCTGAAATAAAGGATATTCAGCACATGTACATTTAGCATGCTCTGAATGTCCTGACACTTTCCCCCAAGGAAAAGTGTAACAATAAGGGGACTGCACCGGTCCCAGCAGCAGATTGACCCCTGCTCTGTAATATTTAAGAGGATGTCTCTCCCCCTGAGATTCATCCCCCAGACAATATTACCATACAAACCCAAGTGCCTTACTAGTTATTACAAACAACTTTGTGATTTTACAGTAAATTATTGTACTTTAGTTATTACTTTTCTCTTTATCCTCTTACTAACCTTATAAGTTACATATTTAACTTATAAGACTAGTACCAACCTCATTTTCCTTATAAATCCTTCAGCTCAGGCACAGTGAAGCTCATCCTACTGTTGTCCCTTATTATTATAAGGAGCTAGCCCCTCCACCACTGTACTAGTGTTGAGGAGAGGCTTAATTCCACTGGCCCTATTGGCTAAAGTGTGACCCAAAATCCCATCAACTCTAGGTCACATAAGAGACCAGAGCTGACACTTTTTGAAGAAAGTGTTTAGCAGTCCAGTGTTTTTTAGGTGACATCTCTCCACGTTTTGCATTCTTTCTTCTTTCATAATTTTGAAATCCATTTTTTGTGCTAGTTTTCAATGTCAACATATAGGGCTGTAACATCTACTTTCTCTTTTTTTCATACCTAGCAAATTTCATCTTTTACACAGGATTGGGACACAGAGGTAAAATGGGAGAAGATGGTAGGGTATGATGGAGATTTGTCAAATGATCTAGTCTGCTTTCAAGTGCTAGTTTTCAATTTCAATAGGGCTGTAACATTTACTTTCTCTCTTTTTCATACCTAGCAAATTTCATCTTTTACACAGGATTGGGACACATAGGTAAAATGGGAGAAGATGGTAGGGTATGATGGAGGTTTGTGAAATGTTCTAGTCTGCTTTCAAGCAGATGAGGTGCTTGGAGGTGGATTTGGTCCGGCAGGTTTGCAATGCGAATTATAAGTACTTATATCCACGGTCCGAGATCCATCGGGCTAAACATGTACAAAATTGTTGAATAGAATGTCTATAATGAGTCTTTAGGCAGTCAGCTGCATAAGTTACTATGCTAAAACATACGTTTTGAGGGGGTAAGTATTGAGCGTCACAGCATCTTGTATCTTGCGACATCGGTTGACCGCTACAGGAATAGATCTTTGGCTCAGGAGAGACTTGCTCAGCTAGTCGAACTAGAAAAAAAAGTGACAATTGTAGACTCAGCGCTGAAGTTGACTTGGGATTACGAAGTATCAAGGAGACTCACGAGTTCTTTGTGAAGAGCTCGTAAACTCAACACAGCAAGGGGAGCCAAAGCTACATCCAAACGATGCCACAGAGGCAACCGCGCACAATAGTAGGATCGTGGTGAAGACGGGGGAAAATTTTGCTGACTGCATGGCACTTTCGAGTTTGTAAAAGCTTGAGATGAGGTTGCTGTTGAGAATGGGGGGAAACTGGGTTGAAGGAGGGAGAAGGGAAAAGAGGTACATTTATGGTGCTTCAAAGCCACAGTGTACATATCTCTAGGGCAGTGCAACAATGTCATGGTGCCTGTGGCGCCGGTGAACACAGGCCATAGCCATAACGGTATGTACAATTGTAGAAGCACATTCTTGAGAACATGTTCCAGTACAATGTGGGGCTGTTGTCTTCGGTACATATGTCCGCGGCACAGTGCAGTGGCCTTGTCATTCAGCAGCCAACCAATCAAGCTACACAATCGCAATCACGAACCAAACCTCATCAAATTCGACTGCCAACTGATGTACAATAGTGCTCACCGGCGGTCTTTCGACATTGTCCAAATCATTTCTTGGAACCAACCTTCAAAAAAGGCATGCTAAATTAGAACATGTGGGCAACTTCAACTGCTATCGGAACGTAGCACTCTTCTAACTTATCCCAGACCCTCGGGGGTAGAATCTGACGGCCATTGGCCGAAGTCAGCGAGGGACTTTGATTGGTTAAAATCAAAGTATACCTTAAATTTAGGAAGTGCGGAGCGGATGTTTGTTTCCGTGTAGGTGAAGGCGCCTATCAGTTTCCGTAAGCTGGCACAACTATGTAGGTCAATAAGAAATCATATAAACTCAATGGACACATGCTATTTACCAGACTGAAATGAGAAATAATCCGAAGAATATTGTTTAAAAGCTGGAATCCTCACACATAGATCTCGGACTTGACCACAATTAGAGCCTGCCGCAGGCCGAGGTACCAAGAGCGGTCGGCCTAAGGCTGGCTCCCGAGCGGTACACGCGTGGGAGCTCTTCCGAGTTCTTCTCCGCGGGGATACTCGCAAGGCGAGTAGAAGCCCGGCCGAGCAGTTTCCACGGGTACCGAGGCGGGTGGCTGGGTACCGAGGCGGGTGGCTGGGTAACGAGCCGGTCCATCGAGCACAAGCGAGTTTGTCCAAAACACGGGGGATCTAGTCCATACCTGCGGGAAGCTGACTTGCTTGAGCCTGGCTCTGGCTCTTCGCTGTGAGGTACATAGGATCTTGTGACTCAGAAGACCCTCAAGCAAGGCACTCGTCAGCTCCCGAGTGAGCCACCGACCCGACAAGAAAAATCTCCGACAGGTCGAGTTAAACCATGCTCGCACCGACCCGACGAGTGATCCCGCTATCAGTGAGGCCTCCGAGCTCGACCCGTCGGGTCGGGGACACGGGCTTACTCGTACAGCCTGCCGCTGAGGTCCAGCCTTAGGTCGGCCTTCTCCGGATCCTTGTGAACATCCCCAAGTGAAGATCATCCCAGTTCCTAATTGTGCTTGCACGTATTTTTGTTCCAAGTCCCAACATTGGGGCACTGTTGATTCCCGGTGCCGGCACTATTTCAGTTTTCTTTTTCTGGAATCTGTGAATAAAGCAAGGTTCTAGTGTACACATCTTGATAATGGGTATCTGAAAAGGATCATATTTTAGTTGAAGGGAACAATTCTGTTGTATTCTTCCTTTGAGGCTGTACATAACCCATTTGAATTTTCCCGGGCAAGGTACCTGGTGTTGAGTTTTTGTGATGGGCTCATTCACAAAAACCAAGAGAATTAAGATTCCACAGCGGAAGGGGAGAGGGCTGCCAAAAGGCATGCTATGGTATGAGGTATGTTTCTGCCACTGTCTGGGCTTTTCATGTACTCTGTTTTTGCTAGTAGGATTTGGGAGCTTGAAACAGCTCAAAAGGCTGCCTGTTGCCTATTTCCTAGTAGATATGCTGCACTAATTTTTCATGGTGTGCATGATTAACTCGTGTGTAAGTTTTGTTTATTGGGTATTCATTTCATGTATTTTCTTTGGACTAGATTGTGAGATGAGTCAAGCCCTCAAGACGAAAGAAAGCCAACAATAGAAGTACTTATGTTTGCAGTGGACAAAGCTTTGAAGTGAAATCAAAAGTCCTTGCGAGTCGAAAGAAATATGTTAAGCGGCTTCAGGTTTTCTCCCAGCGGATATCCGGGGATCATTCTACACAATATCGGACCTCACGAGGTAACCCGCACCGAGCTACAGAAGTCTTCTGAGATTGGAATCCATCTCAAGGTCGGATTTTCGCTGATGAAAGACGAGGAACGTTTGAGTTTCCGCTGCGGATCTTGCCGAGGCCCCCGCGGGGATCGCGCCCACATGGTTCATTTTGGCCCCCCCCCCAAAAAAACTCAGACAACTTGTGAACTGACTCTCGATCTCCACCCGATCGAAATCTGTTTGTTTGCCTTTGTCTGGAATCTGGGAGTGTGACTGGATGATGCTCAACCGGGTCGGCTAGCTCATGGTGCGGTGCACAGTTTATGTGCCGTGGTCCGGATGATTTACCAACTGCGCAAGGAACTTAATACATGCGCCAACCCCACCCTACACGCTGAAGTGAACTGCCGTTTTTGGAAAGGTTCAGTTGATAAAAACCCAAAGATACATGCGCGCCCTCTCCAGCGTTCGGTTGGTGGATCCTGGCTCTAACAGCTGAAGCGGCTACTCTGGTAAGCTGAGATGGACTGCCGGTGTGCCATGCCAACCCAGATGCTTTCAAAGATTTGACGATCGTGAAAATACAATTGAAGTCAAGACATGCACACCTCCGTTGTTGAGAAGCATCATCGCCGGCTGTCAACTGCAGATCAAGAGCAACCAGCGAAATGTGCCAGATGGAAAGGTGGCTCGGAAGAGGGGGAGAAGGAGCAGAGAGAGCGTTTTGTCGAGTCCACACAAATAAATAAACATTCCTTATTTACATATTTACATAAACATAAATAATAGATGTAGGGAGGTTGACTATGGACTTAACCACATCTTGCGCAGTGATGTATCAACCGAGCTGACTGTGAGTCGCTCGCTCTGTCTATCAACCAGGCTTAAAAAATTTTCAACTTGGTTCTCGGCCTTGGCTCCTCGTCTTCCATCGCCAGCCAGCGCCAGCCAGTGTCAGACCGTCTCCCTCCATACCCCCCCCTTCCTCCGGTCTCTGCTGCCTCGAACACCTTCCTCCGTCTCCCACTGGACCCTGCTCAGAGCCTTCGACACGGATAGATACCTCTGGCTTGACACGGCTATACAAGCTGTCCAGAGTCTAGCCATCGTTCGCTGCTCCCAACTTCTGTAAACAAGGAACCGCAAGGATTTGCCATCCCATCAGCAGGCTGCCATCTCCCCATCGCCATCGTCATCATCATCATCTTCCATACCAAAAAAAATACAAGTCAAAACAAACTTGTCACTCTGTCGGCCTGTTGAATTTTCTTGGCCCTCAGCGTACAACCTCTCCCCTCATTCAGCCCTCGCTCCACCCCAGC